ATTTAGTAATGCCATTTGTGCTGCAGTAAAAAATTATTTAATAAGCACCAGGAGCAAATAAACTATCTGCAGCATAACTCCAGATTTGAATTATTGTAACAGGCCATTCCCACTTATTGAAAACACTGGGAAAAACAATATACAGCACATAAAATCATCTGCCTGAGCCCTGGATGGAAGAAATACTGCTCCTGGTGAAGTTTTTCTGAGGAAAAAGCCCATTTATTGGCATCAAATTACACCATTTGATATTCAGATTTTTAACAGAGGCACATGAGGTTTGATGGGATCTGATGGGACAGGAGAGAGTCACTGCTGGATCATGGAATTATGGAATGGTTTGGGTTGGAAAGGACCTTAAAGATCATCTAATTCCACCCCCTGCCATGGGCAGGGACACCTTCCACTAGCCCAGGTTGCTCCAAGCCTTTTCCAACCTGGCCTGGGACACTTCCAGGGATCCAGGGGCAGCCACAGCTTCTCTGGGAAGAAGGAGGGAATTTATGGTCTTCCAAACAGCAATATGTGTTTAGAAGACCCCAAATATTTTCACATCTTCTGCATGTAAAGGTGAGAAATACCAACTATAGATGGGTGTGGGGGCAGACACATTTTTTGGAAGACAAGGGGGCACAAATATGAATAAAATAGTTGACTAGGAATTGCCAGAACAGCTCAAACCGGGCTGACACTCAACTGCACAATGTGTAAATTAAGGAGCAGAGAGGAGGAAACAAAGGCCAGTTTGCTTGCAATTCATTAGCTTTGCAAAGGTTACCAATGGCTGGAACATCATTTCTCCTGCGGCCCCAATTAGAAGGGAATATTAACGACCCCAGAACGGCACCGTCCTGCCCAACCTTTATCCACTGACATTTTCCTAGCTTAAAATATAATGTGGGACAAAATAAAGGGAACCAAAGCCTGGCTTGGTGCTGAATTCCAACTCCAGAAGGTGCTCCCAGAGTCCAACAGCAGCTAAATGAGGCACAACCCTGTGTCCACAGTAGGCAGCTCCTCAATGAAATGGAAATCAAATCCTGCATCCTGGTGCTGCTGGAATGCAGGGCCAGGTTCCTGCTTTTCCACACTGTGTGCCTCACAGGCAGCCCAGCCAGTGCCTGGGATATTCCATGAACCCAGCAGTGCTGGAGTCTGGCAATCCTTGCCTGCTGGAAGGACTGGCTTGACCTAAATCATCCCAAATGTCAGCAATGAAACCAAAAATCCCAACCTCCTGTTTCCCTCTGGGGTTCTCCAGGCAGCTCAGCAGCACAGCAGGGTCAGGATGGGTCACAACCAGCTGGAGAAGATGGAAATGTGCCACGAAATCCCCAGCTCAGAAAGATTTCACTCATTCACAGGATGGTTTGGGTTGGAAGGACTTTAAAACCAATCCAGTGCCACCCCCTGCCAAGGGCAGTGACACCTTCCACTAGCCCAGGTTGTTCCAAGCCCCATCCAACCTGGCCTTGGACACTTCCAGGGATCCAGGGGCAGCCACAGCTTCTCTGCCCAACCTGGGACAGGGCCTCCCCAACCTCACAGCCAGGAATTCCTTCCATATGTCCAACCTACATTTCCCCTCTCTCAGTCTGAAGCCGCTCCCCCTTCTCCTGTCACTACAGTTCCCGAGGAACAGTCCCTCTCCAGCTTCCCTGGAGCCCCTTCAGACACTGGAAGGTGCTCTGAGGTCTCCATAGAACCTTCTCCTCTCCAGGTTGAACATTCCCAACTCTCCCAGCCTGTCTCCATAGGGAAGATGTTCCACCCCCCTAATCAACTCTGTGGCCTCCTCTGGACTTGCTCCAACATTTCCATGTCCTTCTGATGTTGGGGCCACCAGAAACCATTCCATGAACCATCGAATCCCAGAATGGTTTGGGTTGGAAGGAACCTTCAAGACCATCTCATTCCAACACTCTGCCATGGGCAGTGACACCTTCCACTAGCCCAGGTTGCTCCAAGCCCACTCCAAGTGTCCCTGGCCTTGGACACTTCCAGGGATGGGGCAGCCACAGCTTCTCTGGGCAACTCCTGCATTCCCTGGAGAACAGCAAAATGAAGCAACACCCTTGAATGTGCCAACAGAAAGTCCCTCTAAACCCCCATTTTCCAGAACAACACCTCTTTCTGTGTCCATTACATGGAACTGATGCACATCCCAGGTTTTGAGTTTGCTGCTGGAGTCACCAACTGCTCTCACAAAGCGTTTTTCTTGCCTCTGCTTCGCGAGCAAATTCTCAGCCAAGTCTCTCTCATTAACAGCACAGGGGGCTCTCAGATATTACTTATTTATGCTCTGCCTTGGATCCAACTGTAATTATGAAATGTGCCCCAGAGCATTAAAAACACAAACGTTTCAACAGTTTCCCCCCCCAACCCAGCGAGATGAATCCCACTGTTCCAGCACCGGTTAATTAGGGAGTTACAGGGACTGGAAAATAAAGCACTGGGAGAGCAGCTTAGGAGCAGTTCAAGAATGGAAGAATTTTTAATGCATTATAAAATGCTTAATTGGAAAACACCAGTAAATTGTCTTCTCCCAAATCCACACGGTCTTAAATCCTCTGCCTTGTAGGGAGGTTAAATATTGTAACATCAGTTCTCAAGGAGATCTAGTGATGGAGGGAGGGAAAACTCTTCAACCTGCCCAACTTTTGGACGTGTATTTTCAATATATATTCAGCTGTATGTGCTCACTGAGATGCACAACATCCTTATCCCCTGCTTCAGACTGGGATTGGAATCATGGAACGATCTGGGTTGGAAGGGACCTTAAAGCCCATCCAGTTCCACCCCCTGCCATGGGCAGGGACACCTTCCACTAGCCCAGGTTGCTCCAACCTGGCTTTGAACACTTCCAAGGATGGAGCAACCTGGGATAGTGGAAGGTGTCCCTGTCCATGGCAGGGGGTGGAATGAAATGGTCTTCAAGGACCTTTCCAACACAAACCATTCCATGATTCTGTGAATCCCAAGACAAATGCACTCAAAACATTTTTCTACTCCATCATTCAAGTGTGGGATAAGCAAAAATCTATCTAATCCAAATGTCAGCTGGGCCTGGAGAGTTTCCAGGTGGTGTGGACAGTGCTGAAAGAAAGGGAAAGCTGAAGGTATCAGATCCCCAATCCTGGATAATGCACGTTCCTGGGAGGAGCAGGGAGCTGCACTTGCTGATCCTCGTGGATCCCTCCAAACTCCAGGCATTCTGTGCCTCTTTAACAAAATAGCAACTAAATGTGCTTTTGAGTTAACAGGGGAACATTGTTTTTTTTACTGCAAAATCCAGTCCCTCTGAAAAAGGGAAATAAAAGAGCCATTAAAATGCTTGTCTGAACTATTTGTGTTTGCAGAAAAAGGGTCAGGCTGTTACAGAGCAATAATGTCAGGTTTGGATATTTAGAGGGAACGTGGAGGAAGTGATTTGGGATGAGAGAGGCCAAACAAACCTCTCTGGGATCCTGCTTAAATTTATAAAGAAGCAGGCACTGTAAGAGTCTTTAACAGGTGTGGAGATGTTTCAGTGCTGAAGTCAGGGAATCATGGAATGGTTTGGGTTGGGAAGGACCTTAAAGCCCATCCAGTTCAACCTCCCTGCCATGGAACACCTTCCACTAGCCCAGGTTGCTCCAGCCTGGCCTTGGACACTTCCAGGGATGGAGCAGCTTCTCTGGGATTCTTTTCCAATAATGGATCTGGAGGAATCACTCCTGTGGAGGGGTTTAAACCCTCAGCTGGATCTGGGTCTGTACAGAACTAAAGGGCAGTTTTAATTGCAGGTTGATTTTATGGTATTAAAAAGGAACTAAGGAACCAACTGCTTCCCTATTTTCCTTATAATCAATAATCCTGATTATTGATTATAACTGATTATAATCTCCTTATAACCAACTATGCTGCCACAAAGATTTTTAGGGAAGATGACTGTGCTGAATTCAGCAAAACAAACACCCAGTGTGTGTGTGCCAGGAGTAACCACTCACTGCTTACAAACAGTAGGAAGGTGGTGGCTCCAACCTGCTGTTCCCAGGGACTGCACTAAAGCAGATTCCACCCTCTGGAAGCTCCATATGAAAAAAAAAAAAAAGGAAAAAAAATGATATAAACCACTTGTGTGAAGGACCCATCTGGAGCTCCTTGCTTTAATTAAATTTAGCATGAAATCTGAAGTGAGGGATTATTCCCACGGCTCATTTTACACCAGGCATAACAATCCCTACTCGGGAACAGGTTGTAAGACCTGGAGTAGTGTTTATTCCATGGATATCCCTCCTGAAGGGCTCCTCATCGATCAAGGGTTGGTTTGTACTCCTGGAGGATTAACAGCTACCAAAACAGAGCTGCCAGGTTGGGTTGGAGGCCTTGAAAAGAGGACCTGCTGTGCTTTGGGAGGCATTGGCAGGGCTGGAGTTTTTGGAGGATGGAAAACAAATACTGAAATGGCTCCTCTTGGTTCCAGCTCCAAGGGAATCCTCAGGGCACTGCACAACCAGACAGGAACTTCAAGCAGTGCCTGAAGGACAGGAGGATTTGGCTCCTTTTGTGCTGTAACACGTTTGTGTTTAACTTGACATATTTATGGGTTCGCTTTGAAATCCAAAGGTGGCACCGAAAGAGGAGGAATTTACTCCAGGATAACTCCCTGCAAAACCCACATCCTTAATTCCTGGTGGGTGTGAGACAAGGTGTGAATATCTGCAGCCAGTCACATGTCAGCTCTTCCATGGGGGAAGTCACACAGTGTTTTCCAAACCATTTGAAAAGGAACTTCTCCCCTTCCAAAAGCCTCTCCCAGACCCCAACTCCCCTTTCCCTGCACGCACAGGACAAAGATTGATTTCCTTCTCCTATTTCCTAATTAAATACTTCAAATAAAGCAGATATTCCCATTTTTTTAAGGCTGTGCTGCAGCAGGATGCTTAAGGTAAAAACCAAACCAAACGCTGAAAATCAAAACCCAAAGAAACATTTTAAGTGTCTTAAATGAAAAGTACCTGAAAAATGTCACAAAGAACTGCACCAGGTCCATAAAGTTGCTGTGCTGTGAGAATGCAATCTGCAAGAGAAAAGCAAATGTTCTCTGTTACTCACTGAAAAGAAAATTCCTATTTCAAGATATTAAAAAGGATAAAATTTTACATTACAATGTGTCTTCGGTTAAGTCAATTCACCTTTTTTTTTTTGAACAGTTTTTGAAAAAGAACTGAAATATTCTGAGGGAAAAAGAAAACAAATTATAAATTCTTATTGTTTTGAAAACATATATCCCAAAAATGAAGCTGGACAAGTAACATTCTCCCAGCAATGTTCCAAGGAAAATTCTTTGGAGAAAACATCAGTTCCAAAAATCAGAAGGCGGAGCTGCGAATAATCTTAATTAAAAGTGAAAACCTTTAATTATTGTTCACATAGCAACTCCAAAAATTCGACAATTACACTTCCAGCAATACTCCAGAGAGGAAAAACCTCCCCTGGATAAGGAACTTACACCCAGAGCTGCAAAGAGGCACGAGACACAGAAGAGGATGGACACCGTGAACACGGCGATGGCATTCATCCTTCCCCAGGATCCCACGGCACAGGGCAGGGAAAAACCCGGAATATTCGGGAGGAAAATCAGAGGGGAAGAGGCAAACAGGAAACTGGGAGGTGGCTGGAGGCAAAGGGGAAAGATTAGGGAGCCTGGGTAAGGATAACAAAGCGGAGGGAAAGGCAGCTTGGCAATATTCGGGATCAGAAGTTCTTTCCAGGTACCTCCTATTTCCTCTGACCATCAATCTCGGCACCAGGACAGGATATTTAACTCTTTCATGAAATAACAGCACTTATTTTGTGGATTCAAGGGAAATCTGCACTGACAAAAGCTTTTCAGGGAGATCAAATTCACTTCCAGCGTCACTTGTTGGTTTTTTTTCCTTGATAAACAGCATTTCTGGCATCGTGAACACGAACACAAATCCCTCCTCCCAGCAACAGCCACATCCCAAAAATCAGCAATATTACACAAAATGAGCCAATGCTTAGATTTCTGTCACTCTGGAAGACTTTTTATGATCATATTCACTTTAAATATCGATTATAACTTGGTAGAGAAGTCTTGGTAGAAGAACCCCAAATAGGTTTTTTAATTAAATATATTGAAATACTCCGAAGTTGAAAATTCCCTTGCAGGGCAAAACCACTGTGGGGCTGGAAAGTGAACTCCAAATCTGCACACCAGATGCTCTGACCTCAATATTCCTGCCTCCAGAAGACAAGAAAACACAGTTTCTGGCTGATTTTTTTTTCCTTTATAATGTTCTTCCCAATGCTTTTCTGATTATAAAAAGACACTGAGTGTTATTTCACTTTTCAGTTAAAAACAAAAATAAATCAGTGCATGGCCAGTGGTTTGATCTGTGCAAAACTCCTCTGGAATTGTGTTTAAGGCAAAGATTGTCCTCACTAAAATATCACAGCCCAAAATACAAAGCCAGGATAAAAATAATAACTCTGGTTGTTATTTCTGAGAACAACCAGGATGCAAAAGATGCATCTCGAAATAAAGCCCTTTTTGTGCAGCAACAGCTTAAATTTAAAAATCCTTTTGGAGAAATGGAAACTTAAAAGGACAAAGGAATCATCAACAGCCCAGTTCTCTGGGGATGATCAGCAAGACCAAGGTGGAAATCAAAACTTGCTCCCATAAAAAGAAGAAATAAGTATTTGTTAATTTTCTACAATTTTAAAATTGTAGAAATTCTATGAAAAATTAATGAGACTGTTACCAGAAAAGGGTTTCTCATTTTTTTGGATAATATAATTGCAGGGAACAAATAAAACAAAACAGGAAAAAACAAACAAACAAAAACCCCAAAACAAACAAAAGCAAAACAAACAAACAAAAAAAGGCAAAACCACAAAAAAACACAAACTAAACCAACCAATCAAAAAACATAAAAAGAACCCAGGAAAAAAATGACAAAAACACCTCACCAAAAAAAGAGAAAAAAAGAAAAAAAGGGAGAAAAAAAAATAAAAAAGAAAAAAGGAAGAGAAAAACAGGGAAAAGGGAAAAAAGGGAAAAAAGGGAAAAGAAGGAAAAAAAGGAAATTAAGGAAAAAGAAGGAAAAAAGGATATAAAAGGAGGGGAAGGAAAAAAGGGGAAAAGAGAAAAAAAGGAAAAAAGGAAAAAAGGGAAAAGAAGGAAAAAATGAAATGAAGGAAAAAGAAGGAAAAAAGGAAATAAAAAGGGGGGAAAAAGGAAAAAAAGGGGAAAAGAGAAAAAAGGGAAAAAAGGGAGAAGGGGGAAAAAGGGAAAAGAAGGAAAAAAGGGAAAAAGGGAAAAAAAAGAAAAAAGGAAAAAAGGGAAAAAAGAAAAAAGGAAAAAAGGACAATAAAGGAAAAAAGGGTAAAAAAGGAAAAAAGGAAAAAAAGGGGAAAAAAGGGGAAAGAGAAATAAAAAAGAAAAAAAAGGGGGAAAAGGAAAAAGGGGGGGAAGAAAAAAAAAATAAAAGGAAAACTTGGTTTATTTCATGCAAAGCCCCACAAATGCTTTCCCATGTTGGTTTTCCCTGCCTGTTGGAATTCTCCTCCTGCAAAGCCCAGCTGAGCTCTGGGCCTCACACACAGATTAAAATTAAAGCCCAGCTTTAACTAAAATTAAAGGGAATTTCCCCAATTCCCTTCTCCCAGGCTGCAAACACCATCAGAGCTGCCCAACGTGTGTCCTGGGCAATTTGGGTTCATCACTGTTCATGCTTTGCTTGCTCAGAGCCTCATTTCCCCTCATGGAATGTGCTTCTAGGACTTCATTCATCCAGTTACAGTCAAAGCTGGGTTGGAAATGGCTCTTGTTGGTCCTGGATCCAGGAAAAACATGGCAGCGATTCCTTGGCAGTGAGGGATTTTTAATTAAGTTTCAATGATGGGAAAAGATTCGTTTTTCCACCTTCAAAAACCTCTTGTTTTGTACCAGAGGATGAGGCAGGGGAACTGCAGGGAAGCTCCGTGTGGGGATGAGGAGAAACTTCTCCAGGAGTGGGGCAGAACCTCAGCTCAGCTGCCAAGTCAAATCACCACTTCCACATCAAAGAATCCCAAAATTATGAGGTTGGAAAAGCCCTCTGAGATCATCCAGTTCAACCATTCCCCCAGCCAAGGCCACCACTGACCCATGTCCCCTAGTGCCACATCCACAGGGATTTGAAATCCCTCCAGGGATGGGGACTCCAACACTGCCCTGTGCCAGGGCTGGAAAACCCTTTCCAGGAAGGAATTTTCCCAATATCCAACCTAAACCTCCACTTGGGCTCACATTCAGCCACTACCAACCAGCACCCTCCAGCTCCTTTTCCAGCTTTCCAGCCACTATTCCCAAGCCATATACATCTTTCAAGGATATTTTATATATTTTTAGGAATAACGGAGCACGCCAAAGTAGTTAAATCAGATAATTAATTATGTTAATCCCAAAGAATATTACAAAGCTCGTGTTTATCTGATCTGAATAAATACCTGGGAAAGCACAGCCCCCCCTATCCTGCTTTTTTGTCATTTGAAGGATCAAAACAATCCCCCTGCTCTCCAGATGAACAGGAATAGGTCTGTGGACTGATAAAAATTCATAATTAAGAGCTTTACTTTTTTTTATCATTCGATTAACATAAAATACGAAGCCAGGAAGCAAATCTGGCCGCCTCTGACCGGCCAAAAACATCCCCAAAATCGCCCTGGGTTGGAAATCAGTGCTCACACATTGCAAAGGAGTTCATGGCAAATGACTTGGCCCCAAAATATTCAGAGGAAAGGAAAAGTCATTTAAACCCAAGCGATGTTGCGGCGACAGTTGGTGTTTTAAATCCAAAAAAACGTCGCTGGAGTTAAAACTCCAGCCTGTGACTGATAGAAATTTTGACCAACAAACTGGGATGATTCCACACCAGGACGTGCTTTCCAGTCAGTTTGTGCTTCAAGAGAAAAGAAAATTGAGATTAAACTTCCAAGAGAACAGTTTGGGACAAAAATGGGTCCAGTTACTTCTCAGTCTAAGTTCACCTTAAGCATTTAAGTGCAACAATAAAGTCGTTTAAGGCTCCATTCTCTGATCTACAAATGCTCTGAACTCATTAAAACCAACTTGAATTTCACATCTCGACAAGGAAAAATCAGTATCACCAATCCAGGGGGGAAATTCTGCAGAAATTTCTTTTCTTGTTGAATCCAGCAAGAAACCAACTGAAGTTAACACCTCTTGTTTAGCTGCAATAATCAGATTTACAGATAATTTGTCACAGCATGAATCCTCCTACTTGTGTTGGAACTTGCTGGGATTTTAGGGAAATAGAAGCCAAATTATTTGCCACAAGGGGGATGGGACAAACCTCTCTCCAAACTCAAATAATTCCTAATGTTAGACATAATATTTGTGCCACTAATGTAAAATTAACTGAAGAACTGCTAATGAGGGAGCTGGAGTGTTCAGCCTGGAGGAGAGAAGGTTCCAGGGAGAGCTTTCAGCACCTACAGGAGCACCAGGAGAGCTGGAGAGGGACTTGGGATAAGGGATGGAGGAACAGGACACAGGGAATGGCTTCCCAGTGCCAGAGGGCAGGGATAGGTGGAATATTGGGAAGGAATTGTTGGCTGGGAAGGTGGGGAGGCCCTGGCCCAGGTTGCCCAGAGAAGCTGTGGCTGCCCTTGGATCCCTGGAAGTGTCCAAGGCCAGGTTGGAGCAACCTGGGCTAGTGGAAGGTGTCCCTGCCCATGGAATGAGATGGTTTTTAAGGTCCCTTCCAAGCCAAACCATTCCATGATTCTGTGAATAAACGGAAGAATGTTTCAAGTATGGCTATTTCACAGCATATTTGGGGACATTTTGGGTCTCTGAACGCTTGAGAAAACATGATCAACCACAGAAAATATCGTTTCTCTGACTTCTCTCTCCCTGCTGACAATTCAGGATTATTTACAGGTTGGATTTCTGCCTTTCTTCGCTCCCGCACAAAGCGACTCAATTCACACCATTGCTGCCTTTCTTTTCATCCCTGCTCTGTCTCAGGGATGAGAGAAAGGCAA